GTTGTAGAATTCGCAACATACTCTGACCTGAAGAACGCCATCGACAAATTGGATGACACAGAATTGAACGGACGAAGAATCAGACTTATCGAAGACAAGAGACGCGGTCGTCGCTCCAGGTCCTCGAGTTCGAGATCAAGGTCAAGGTCACGGTCTCGATCTCGTCGTCGATCACGCTCCCGCTCAAGGTATTTTTTCTCTCTCTTTTTTAAAAATCATTTCATTCATTTTCCGCACTGTATTCTACATTAGTCATTCAGTTAATTGCATGACATGTAGAATGATTTAATACAGCTCCCCTGTACTCTTCATATTAGAGTTGAAGTAGCTTTTAGGTAGTTCGTAAGCAAAATAGAAAAACATTTTATGAACTTGCCCTTTTTTCTTTCTTTGTTATTTTAGGAGTCGTCGCAGCTCTCGTAGTCGTAGCCGTCGCAGCAGCCGTTCCAAATCAAGGGCACATTCTAAATCTAAATCAAAGTCTAAATCCAAATCCCCTGAACGTAGCCGTTCTCGTTCCAAATCCAAGTAAGTATTCCTATCCTGTGGTTAAATATTTTCATTCCAGTCGTTAATGCAATTAATTAAAGAGTATTTATTTTTTTATTTTGCTTCGTTTCTTGCGCAATTATTTATATAATTGAACATTTATTGTAACGTCGCACATTCACCTCCCACTGGTTGGCATTGTGTTTGGGCTGGTTTTTTATTGTTACAAGTTGCCTCTCACCACTTTTATATTCATTGTTTTTTACACTGAATATATCATCAAAGTTTTTATACTTTTTTTTTTTTTACTTGTATCCTCCTGCATTTTCTTCATTTGAACTATAATTTTACAGATCAAGAGACCGCTCAAAGTCGAAATCTAAGTCAAAGTCCAAATCCAGATCTCGTTCTAGGTCCAAGGCTGAGAGGTCAAAGTCCAGGTCGCAGTCCAAATCCAAAGCCAAGTCTCCCTCAAAGTGAGTTTAATCTATATAATGAGCGCAAGAAAAGCAAATCTATAACCGTCTCTCTTTAAACCAGTTCTTCTTCCAGAGATAGATCTAGTCGCGAAAGATCGAGGGGCGACAGATCGAGGTCCCGATCAGGAAGTAAACATAGCAAAAGCCGTAGCCTTTCTCGTTCGCCAATGAACGGAGATAAATCACCTGAAAATAATAAACAGAAAGCTGATTAAGATAATGAACAAACAAAAAAGGGGATTACGGAGTGAAGTTTGAAGAGGACGAGGAGGATGATGACGATGAGGAGGAGGAGGAGGAGGAGAAAGAGGAAGAAATTTCTCTCTTTTTTTGTTTCCTTTTTTTCTACAAGTTAAAAATACATTCAAGAAGCCAATTTCATAATGAATTTGTTATAAAACTTCAATTTTTTTTGTGACACTGTAATTAACATGTACATCGTATTAAACATAAGCGAAATTTGTAAATCCTATGGATACACGGAACAAAAAAAAAAAATTGTAATTAACTATATCGGCTTAAGTATAATTAATAATTGTACATGGTTACATACTTAACTGAACCAATCTGCAAAATTGGTTTTATTTTTTAATTTTAATTGTACATGGTCGTCTCTGAATACCACCACACATCGCATTTAGAAAAATAAGATGTCTTCATAAGTACCTTAAACGGACTCTACACGTTTTTTCGATGTAACGCCGTAAAATATCAAGGAATTCCCTGTAATGGCTTTTTGTATATATTCCTAACATTCACATTACAATAAGAAAATATGTGATGTGTATTAAATTAGAGGTAAGAGGTATCTTATTATCAATAAAAAAAATACATGCCAATCCTACGGTGAATTATTTTTCATCGAAAGTTAATTTCTTCGCTTTTATTTATTAAAGTATATACATATAATGTTTTGATAGTATAAACTACAGTATGCATAAATCAAACTGATTACCAACATACATAAAAGAGATAAAAAGTGTATCAATGTTTAAAATTTGTGGAAGTTCCTTATTAATATAACAAAATAGAGTTTATGTACATATACATTTATACAATGTGATCCACTATAATCTATAAATTCATTGCGATTATTTGAAATAATACATCAAATACTCTCTTGCTTACAAAAGTTGTACGGTCAGAGTAAATATCTTAATCATCCGTAAATTTCTCGGTTTTAACTCTAACATTGCTGAATTCAAAATCTAATTCTAACTGTCTAGATTTATTTTTACTTGGAGAACTTATTAAATTTTTTCTATTTTTCCGAGTATATCTATAACTGTCATCGTTCGATCCAATACTTGCTACAGAACTTTCCCTTTCCTCTTTTATATTATAAATCATATCTTCATCTGTTGGTTTTATTTTGTTAAAGTGTTTCACATTACTTTTTGTATCCATTTCATCACTGTCGTTATTATTAGGTAAATTAACCTTACGTTTCTTCTTAGGTGAATTAATTTTTGATAAATTCTTCATGCTATCTTCTTGATAAGTATCATCTGGTTTTTCTACTTTAGTTACAATGCCTTCAAACTCAGGTTCTGCTTTTATTTTAATTTCTGAATGTCTTTTATGCTTCTTTTTCGTGTTACTTTCATCATCCTCTACTTCTACTAAATCACAGCTAGAGATAGTAGATATATTTAATTTAGAATCCATCCTTGATACTTTACAGGTTTTAATATAATCGTCCTCTTGTGCGTTTTCAGAGTCACTAGTCACTTTTTCTGTCTTTATCTTTACATTCTGATACGTAGAATCGCAATCAAATATTTTACTTTTTCTATTTTTTCCTTTTAACGAAACTTTTTCAGAATTTTCATTGCACTTTGTTTTAGGAGATGTATTTATTCTATTGTTTACTTCATTAGTATCACTTAAGTTTTCGATTTTAATGTTTGGAAGCACTCCTTCACTTTCTATAGATGAATTTGCATCTTTTTTATTTGAATATTTTATATACTTATATGAACTGAACTCGTCTGATGAATGATCACTATCTAAATCTTTTCTTTTTTTAGTATTCTTTTTTGATTTTGGTTTATGTTCAAACATATTTTCTTCTATGTTCCATTCTGTCCCATTGCTTGTCCTACTCTGTTTCAACTTAGTTTTATTAATTTTATCTTTAGATTCTGTATCAAATAATCTGTTGGATATTTTCTTTGATGGATACTCTTCAGACTCTTCAATAAAGTCTTCATTTATGGAACTCTGAGAGCCATGACTTTTAGATTTCTTTTTATATTTATGCTTTGGACTAATAGATTCTTCAGATTCCTCATTGTCTATGAATTTATTATTTGTAAAAATACTGTTTGTATATCCAGTTGACATGGTTTCTGTGTCATTCAACATAGGTTTTGATTCTTCCAGTTCTTGAACTTTTTTAGAATGCTTTTTGCCTTTCTTTGCCTTTTCAGTGGGTTCAGTCATTTCTATTTCAATAGTTTTGTTTAATTTTTTATGTTTATCTCTCTTTTTCTTTATCTGTGATAAATCTTCTTCAGAGGTATTTGCAGAATCAATTCCATGAAATGTATGTCGTTTAGATTGTTTAGTAGTTTTTCTTGATCTATCAGTACCATCTTGATTGTTGTTATCAAGTGAGTTACTAACTTTTTCTGTTAATCTACAACCTTGTAAATAATCACTGAAATAACAAAGAAATAATTATTCAACTATCAGAAAAACTATCCAAAGTTTACTTACCTTGGATTTAAGACACCACGAATATAAGGTAATTTACTAGTAAAATCAAGATGGGTTATTGCAAATCGTACTTCTTGTCCTATTTCAAGATTATCTCCTACCCAATCTTCCTCATCATCCAGTTTTGGAATTGATACATTAAAAGCTTTATGCACAAGCACTCCAATGTGATCTAATCCCTTCTTACTTACAATTCCTATAAATCCTTCTTTATTAACAACAAATATAAAATTTCAAAATTATATAAAAACAGAGTATTACCTTTCAATGAAGAGCCTACTTCTGGTTTGAATATATAAAAATCTGCTTCTATGTCAATATGAATGAAACAAGTATCATAAAATATATCTCCCAATGGTGTTAACAATTTGGGGTTTTTATAAGCCAATACAAAACCTTTTAATCTGTAATTAAAAATAATTTAATTCATTAATATTTTAATATTGATGATGTAAATATAACCAAGAATGTCTTGTATCTACAATAAAAATGAAAAACATAAAACATATTCTTAAAATTAAAAACAATTAAACACATACTCTGTGTCATAAAAGTTCAAATTTGAACTTAAAATCTCATTTAACGCGGCAGTTAGATTTGTTAAATGAAATGGATGTAAACCAAGATGCTTTTTAAATTTCTCGAAAGAAACATGAGAATCCTCGTCTTCGAGGAGTGCCGTAAGTTCTAAAACGGACCATGTAATCCCTGTATATTTTTTAAATTTCATCTTTATTAGTTAGAGATGTAAACTAAACACTATTATAGGTTAAACACATGTTTTGTCGGCAACGTAAAATCAGTACACTTAGTGTATGTGCCTTCAAATAGTTTCAAAGAGGTTAAGTTAGGTTTAAGCCCCGCCAATTTTTTTATCTATGGAATTGTGCGCATTGGTGCACATTCATACTACTAATGCAATCTTGGCTATATCTATTTGCCAGACGGTTTATGAATTTAGCATCCATGGACATAAAAAATAAAGCTTCAGATAATTTTGCATTATTTTCTAAAGTATATTCAGAAAACATGTTCTATTTCCAACTTAAAAATCAACGCGCAATTTCGTATACGACCAATCAACTGAATCAGGTATGCATGTATATTAAGTGTCACGAGAGTCCATAACTAAACGCGGAAGTTGGAAAATGGTGGGGGAACGCAGCGAGCTCTCTGCTAATCGCTTTCCACTTCGTTTGGGAGTATCGCCAATCAGGGCGAAGATGCGTACTGGAGATGCGCGAAGAACGAAAACTGGTCTTTTCGCAGTTATAGATTCTCATGGCATGAAGTATATATATATATATATATATTGATATACATACTTACATGTTGGAAACACATGCGTACAGGCAATTTTTGACGTAACACAAGCTGTAAGTCAACCTATAAAAATAAATAATATAAATGTGATTTAAAAACAGATTTACTCAATGAAAATAATCAGGGAAGCTATAAAAATTTAACAGAAATGTATACCAATGATGTTAATGGATTTTCATGTGGTTTTACTACTGCTAAAGGTAGTGCAATCAGTGTTTCTGATAAAGCTATATCAAAAGCAAAGAATTTGTTTACAGAAGAATTAAAGGAAACAGACAATCATGAAGAAATATGTAAGATTCAGATACAAAATGGTGAGCTTGAAGTACAATTGCCAAATGTAGGATTTCAAACAGCGAATGGCAGAAATATTAATGTAACAACTGAAGCATTATTAAAAGCAGAAACATTATTGTCTACTGAAATCACAGAAAATGTAAAGAGTATCATGCCTTCTAAATGTAGGACTGCCAAAAGTAGTTTAGTTATTATTTCTAATGAAACTGTATTAGAAGAACAGGAATCTAGAAATACATTAAAAAATGAAACTAGTGAAGCCAATGAATCTATGATAAATGATGGATTTAAAACTGCAAGTGGTAAACATCTGGTAGTAACAGAGCAAGCATTACAAAAAGCAGAGAGATTGCTTTCTGAAAGTATTATAGAGAATACAAACAATGTAATGTCTTTGAGTGCCTTTAAAATTCCTAACAATAATTTAAGTAATGTATCAAAGCATAATTTGTTAAAAAATGATTTAAAAGACGTAGAAAAATTTGGAGACATATATCTAACTAAAAAAGAATCTAATAAAAATGAATTGCAAAACATTGACTTTCAAACTGCAAGTGGTCAGTCTATAAATGTAGCAAAAGAAGCTTTATTAAAATCAAATGCATTATTTCATGAAGATACTTTGGAAGATCCTGAAAGTCCTATGTTAATTAAATCACTTCAAAAACGAAAAATTAAAGAAATAGATAACGATGATACATCTTTAAACAAAGTGAAATCTAATCACTTTAAAAAGTTAAGATTTAGTAATGAATTCCAAGTTCAAAGAACTGTTTGTAACAATTCAATTAATATTGAAGAAAAAGAAAATCAGGAAATGACTTTGGTGTCACCAAAAGTTTTAATTGTAAATATTGATAAATCAGTAGATAATAATCAAACAAATGAAACAAATGGGAAAAGCAATGGAGGAAATAGTACTTCCACAAATTTTTTAATTTCACATGAAGTTGTAGCTAGTACTGTTGCACTCTTAGCTGATGAAGAAGATTCTTTAAAGCAATGCAGTTCTATAGAAAGCAAAGAAAATGAAGAACTTCCATCTAGCCCTGTAATAGGAGGGCAATTTATTTCTAGAAAACGAAAGAGTGTAAATAGTAAAAGAAGAAGTACAAATGCTTTAAAAAACATAGAAAATAAATGTCCTTGTATAAGTACTTTAAAAAGTTCAAATGATATTTTTGTAGATATAAACGAAGTTGTAAATAAAAAAAATAAGCATTTAACACAAAAAGAAGAATCAATGAATGAAACAAAGAGATGTGATATTTCAGTTACCAATGAATTTAGTGATACTCAATTAATGATAGAATTTATAAATCAATCTGAAAATATTTTAGAGAAACGTTTTAAAGCTATTTTAGAACAAGTAAGTTTAATTTCAAATAATATGAATATTAATATAGGATAAAATACTTAACATTATAATTTAAATTTATATCGATATACTTTCAGGAAAAACAAATTAGTTTAAAAGAGAAATGCAAACCTAAACCTACAATTAGTGTATTATATTTGTATAGAAAGACTAATCACAACAATCGTGTATCATGGAGAGAAATCAGTAAAGGAAATAAACCAATACCATGTACAAGTAAAGAACTTATGGAACGAAAATTACCGCTTGAAATTTTAAATATAACAGCTGATAATGCAATAACATTTAAATTTCGATGTACAGATTTTTATGGGTAAGGCTATTAATTATTCATCTCCATGTTTATGAGTAAATTGTTTATGAACTTCGTATACAATATTTAGGCAAGATGTTGTACAAAATAATATGGAAGGTATAAAACTAAAAGACGGAGCCTGCTTAATTTTGGATGAAAATGGTTATGTAGGAATAACAGAAATTAACAGAGCTTTTCTAGCAAGTCCAGGAGTAGATCCCAGTTTACTTTTCGATGGATGGGTTGAAAACCATTTCAAATTGATTGTATGGAAATTAGCATCAATGGATAGAATAAAATTGGGATCTGTTACTTTACCACGGTAAAACTAATTGATTGTGTTAATGATAGAGAATAATAAATTTTATGTTACTTATAAAAAGGGTTTCCTGTTTAGAGCACTAACTCCTGATAGAGTTATGATGGAATTAAAATATCGCTATGATCGTGAAATTGATAGATCTGAAAGATCAGCTCTGAGAAAAATTTTAGAAAAAGATGATGTTTCGTCGAAAAGGATGGTCTTATGCGTAGAATCGATTACCGAGGTAATTTGGTTTAATTTGTAAATGCAGATAGTAAAATATGTGAGATTAAAAATTAATAAAACATATTTCTTTTAAAAGCCTGACGATTGTACTATTACAAATAGTTCTTCGTTAACAGCATCAAAAAAAGTAATATTAACAGATGGATGGTATAGTGTTCCAGCTTGTATCGATCAGGCAATGGTTAAAAATGTAATGTCTGGTAAAGTAAAAGAAGGAACAAAATTAATAACATATGGGTCTGAATTATTAAACTGCGATCAAGGATGTTTACCGCTTGAAGTAAATATACTTTTAAATACTACACCAAAGTTTTATGAAAAATGGTAAATGTATATACAATTTTTGATTGATAATTTATAGGTTCCAAAAAATGTATGTTTAAAGATACATACAAATTCAACTAGAAGAGCAAGGTGGGACACAAAATTAGGATATGTAGCTCCTTCAGGGCCGTTGTGCATTAAGTTGAAGACCATTAATTCAAATGGTGGATTGGTTGGAAAAATTAAAGTTCTGATTACAAGAGTGTATCCAATGTTATATCGCGAGAAAACTCCGATAGGAGGATCTAGTAAGCTATATATTTCGAATAATTTTAAAGTTATTAACTACATTTTAAACTTCTGTGTTTCATAATTTCAGTTTTTCGCAATGCAAGATGTGAAGAAAAAGCTAATATTGCTTATGAAAAGGAATGCAGATTGACTATAGAAGCGTTTTATGCTAAAGCAGAAAAATATTTTTCCACTGAAAGAAGAAAAAGTTCTTCAAATACAGATAGTATTGGTTTATCAGTAAGTGACTGGATTGAGGAGTGTGAGAAACAGGTATACATTATTAAAATTTTTATTTTTCTATTTTATAAATTTATATTTTGATACTTCGTTATAGGAATATCTATCAAAACGAGAATTTGAGCAATTAAAGAATAATTACCGCGTAAAGGAGGAAAAATTTAGACGAGAACTGGAATCACAGTTAAAAGAAACCTTACCGCCTCCACGTCAAGTTACACCTCTTTTAAAGATTCGAGTAGTTGAAGAAGAAACGAGTGCTATTCTCTCAATCTGGTCGCCTAGCGAAGAAATTGCAGATATTTTAAAAGAAGGAAATGTTGTATCAATTTGCAATGTTATACCATTGGGGAAAAGGTACCAGTTATATAAATATTATTTTGACATATCTGATTATCATTCAAATATTATCTGTTACTATGTACTATAACAGAGGCAACGTGCTACAGTTGAGTACAACCCGAAATACAATATTTAATCAAGTAAATGTTTTTAATATAACTTATTCTCGGAGAACATATACACCATTATGTGATGTAAATAAGGCCACTTTTGCCCCAGCTTATGGAGAACTTGATACAGTAGGAGTTATTGTTGGAATTGGAAATGAACCTTATGTGAGTTACGTGTATGTAGACTATGTATCAAAAAGATTAAGATTAAATGTAATTATTGTGTTTATAGGGTATGAAACATTTTGAAGCTGTATATTTGGCATATCCAGATAGGGATTTTCAATCTTCATACATGTCAATATTATTTTGGCATGGCATAGTCTCTCATGGATACGCAGAAATTTTGACAGTAGGATCATTTGTTGCTTGTAGCAATTTAGAGTGGCGACGGGCTACTTCATGGAACATACCAATAACATATTGTACAGAACGAAGTACATTTACTCGTAATCCTCGGCAAAATCATCTTCAACAACCTTTTGAAGATTTAAAACATTTAATCAAGGTATTCTTATAATTATTAGTTACGTTTTATATTTATAATTCTGTAATATAATAATCATAAATGTTTTTAAGGATGCTAGTACGTATATAACAACATGTGCTGAAGAAATTTCAAAAGAAGTACAAAAGAAATCGGTGACAAGAATTTCAGATTCGTATAAAAATAACCTCGATAAAACATCGAATGAAAACCTTAGTTCTGATAAAAAATTTACTAATGATGTATATCAAGAACATTCAAGATATAATTTACTAAATCAATCAGCGAAGCCTATTAGTGTACAGGAGCGGCTTGAAAGACTACAACGATATGGCGAACCATCAAGTTTATCTCCAATTGTACTTAATAACAGTTCCAAGCGAGTATTTTTAGAGTTTCAGTCTCCTGTTCGACCAACGGATAGAGACCAAACAAAAATTCACAAGTTGTTAAATAAAAATTTTACGGGAAATTCTAGGTGATAATATATAATTTCAACTATAATTTATTAATTGTACTATAAGATATAAAATGTATATTAATATTTTGTGTATAATAAGAGCAGGTTGAATGAAATATATTTCATATTATCTATTTAAATAATAAAATGATGTAAAAATTATTTCGTTAAGTTCTTAAATATTATTGAATGTTTCTCGTAGTTTCTCATAATTTGCAATTTTTAATTTAATAAAGTTTCTGCTTTGGTATCGGGCGATAGCGGAACATATCGAACGGTGCCGAACTATACCGAACAGTACCGAACGGTGCCGACCGGTCTTCGGTGGGAAGGAAGTTCGCGCCATTTCTCTCGCGAACCATGATTGATGGGGTCCCAGACACCCCCAGATAAGATTCGAACTGCATGTAGAGAGTATAGCTAGAAGGGGTGTCAGGGACCCCAAAGCACCGGTGACCATCTCTGCATACCGGCGTGATTTCATCTTGGGGTGTCAGGAACCCCAAGCGCCTGTGACACTGCATACCGGCGTGATTTCATCTAGGGGTGTCAGGAACCCCAAGCGCCTGTGACACTGCATACCGGCGTGATTTCATCTTGGGGTGTCAGGAACCCCAAGCGCCTGTGACACTGCATACCGGCGTGATTTCATCTTGGGGTGTCAGGAACCCCAAGCGCCTGTGACACTGCATACCGGCGTGATTGCTTCTTGGGGTGTCAGGAACCCCAAGCGCCTGTGACACTGCATACCGATATGTTAGCATACGGGGTGTCAGGGACCCCGAAGCACCGATGATACTCTTTGCTTACCGACACTACGGCATACGGGGTGCCTGAGACCCCGAGTTACCGGTGACGCTACATGCCGATATTACTTACTGGGGTATCAGGGACCCCGAAGCAAGTAGCGAAATATAAGACCTAAAAACGAACAAATCGTGAAACTCGCTTGTTCGGAATAGTGATGGGTATGACCGGATCTAGCGAAATATAAGACCTAAAAACGAACAAATCGTGAAACTCGCTTGTTCGGACTAGTGATGGGTATGACCGGATCTAGCGAAATATAAGACCTAAAAACGAACAAATCGTAAAACTCACTTGTTCGGAATAGTGATGGGTACGACCTGATTCGATCCTGGGGTGCCTGGGACCCCCGAAGCATCGTTGACTCTCCCTGTATACTGACATTACGGTGTCCGGGGTATCAGGAACCCCAATGCATAGGTGGCGCTCTGCATACCGAACTAATATGTACATCTGGGGTGTCAGGGACCCCGAAGCACCGATAATTGCGTATACCAGCATATCATCTGGGGTGCCAGGGACCCCGAAGCACCGGTAATTGTGCATACCAGCATACCATCCTGGGGTGTCAGGGACCCCGATGCATCGGTGGCGCTCTGTGCATACCAAATTGATTTTATGCTGGAGTATTAGTTTTTTTTAAATTCAGAAATTTCGATAAACTTTTAATATCAATTTATTTAGAAATAAATCCTCTTACAATAAAAAATCACACTACATTTCCCACTTACTTTATGACGTATACTTACGCTCCTCATGCCACTACATTTGAAACACTCTATATTATGTATAATTTTAAATATACGACTTCCTTTTTGCTGGAATTCGGAATGAAAAACAATGGTTTTTAAACGTTTTTAGTTTCTATATTTTAACATGTACGACACAATAAAATATGTACACATATTTACAGTATGCTTTTGCAATAAATCGCAGAATTATATGTTCTTTCCATTGCATGGCAAGATCTTCGTTTGGCGAACTCACTATTTTGCTGTTGTGAAAATTTTCACAGTTCTTGTTTAGACAGGATGTGAAATTGATAACAGGATGAGGGGTGTTTTTTGCTTTCTTCACAGATTGTAAAATTTGTGATTCTATTACTTTTATTCTAGGAGTTTTTATAAAAGCAATAGATAACTTACTTTGTAAGATTTATAATGTAAAATTTAATATAAAAACAATTACAGTTTCCAAGAATTTTGTCTACATTTAATGGCGGTAACATTCTTTTCCCTACATAATAACATTTATTTTTCCAGTATATTATTGTTATGCTACACTGTAACACATACACAAGCATACACACATACGCGCGCGCACACATATACATTTAATTATTTATTTACATTTACACGTTTTATGTACATTATACTTATGTAACGTATGAAAATTAATTTTCTTCATCGATCAATTTACTTAGCTGCATCATGAAGTGAGTTCGCCACTTTTTAAAAATATTTCTTATGTAAGAAACAACACGCATTTATAAAATTACAAATATGACATTACATTTGAATTGAGATGAAGAGATAATCAAAAAGCAAGTAAATAGAAACTTAATTTGCGCAAATAATTCAATTTTGATTATAAAATAGCAACACCTTCGGAGCAAAGAAGAAAGAACTACCGATATTTTTCAGTATGAAATGCGGTATGCTATGCGGAGAAAATTCTATTTATTATCGTGATTTCTTACACTTTAATTAGGTACTTTTGGCGTTTTGTGAGATACATATTTACACGCAATGTTAATTTGTCGCTAAAAAGCTACGGTCAGGAACTTCGCCTTTCAATTTTATGGCTTTCGTCTCTCGATGTTCAGTATTCTTCAAGACATTTACTGCGTAAAGAACTTATGTATAATGGAAGATGCGTATGTTAGCAGTTATTGCCATTTAACTTCTCCTGGCGGTGTTGGATTCTCAAAGAATTTACAATGAAATGCAAACTGAGGTAGGAGATCTGATATTATTTTATTAACTTTTCCTACGATGATTCGAAGTTGATATTTCCAAATAATCTTTTCATTGATAAACTTCAATTAAAGTGAGAATCAATTTTCTACCTCTAGAAAGAAATCCTTTCTTCCATATTCGGCGCAACGTTTCCAGTGATTCGATGATCGACACGAAAATCTCCGAAACGAATAATAAATGTCTACTTAAACTTAACTGTTCTGTACGTATAATATTCCGTAATTGATCACAGAAATGGCATGTCTATAAAAAAACCTAAACAGCACCGTTTCAGCACCAAACAGCTGTTCGCTGTCTAAGGAAATCATAAAAAAAAAAAGTTGGAATGTTTGATAAACCAAAGTGCAAATACAGACACACACTCGCTGTTGATTCAAGTACTTGAAGCACAATTTAAAAATGATGAACAGTTTAATAATGGTCTCACTTAGTTTATATGTACACGCACACACTTTGTAGGATTTTTGAAAAATAAACAGTTCAACTTGAGGTACATATGTTCAGACACTGAAGGAGACTTGGTAAAAGAATGTACTATGGAAGCGGCCAAGGTAAACCGGAAAAGTCCACAGGGCCACCTAAGCCAGCGTCCGCCTCTAGAAGGCTCATTATCACGGCCATTGCTGCTTCGTCGTTGCCATCCGATGGCACCGGGTTTGGTGATTCGTTTATCGTTGTACCCCCGATCATATCCATCATATCCTCGTCTGGTGACGTTCCTAAAATGGACGGGATGTTACGTTATGCGCAACGGTCATTCAAAGGATGATATTTTTTGCATGGCGTGGCTGTGAACGCTACTCTTAAACGATAATGCTCTGCCAAACAAAAGTTACATATTTTTTTTTTGCGGGCTTTGATTGCTGGACGTTCGTACCATCGAATAAACGAAAAAAAAAAAGAAAAGAAACGAGTACACGATTTTTTGAAAAATGAAATTTTGAAAAGAGATACCAGAACGAACTTCCTTTGCCCTATTTCGCTCAGAGAAATATTCATTTTCAAATTCACGTGTAGAGCTTCCTTTCTTTTTTTTTCTTTTTCGGTCTTGTTTTCTCTGAGCGACCTAATCTTTTTGATAAATCCGGCAATCGCACTACACACCAAGAAACGACTCCTTAGAGACAGTAATAGCTATGACCTTGGTCGTTCGCGATGCTGTTCAGCTGCAAGTTGCTTGCAATGTGGTTGTACGTTGATGCAGGATTAGTGGTGCTGTTGTTGTTGCTTCTAAGTGGCTGCGTCAAATCCTGGACTCTCTCTGGTGATGCCGTGGTGGTGATCTGTGACTAATCATACAAATAAAATTTTCCATAAGTATATACCAATTTTAGAATTTCTATTAGCCTGAATTTCCCATCGATTTGAAAAAGTGAAAAAATCAGAAATTTTGTAAAGCCCATAACATTTATATTTATATAGTAATTAATTTTGATAATTAAATTACTGTAGGACTTTGATTATAAGTACCTCAGTATTTAACAGAGTAGATTCCGGTCCAGGTCCAGGACTGCCTCCGGAAGAAGAATCTTCACAGCGTCTCTGAAGGTCCAGAACCTCGTCCGCTATTTGTCGTCCAATTTTACTTACCTCAACATGACTTGAGATTAATCTTTCTAATCCACCGTTACCTGTAACAATGAAGAATAAATATACATATGTAACGATAAAAAAAAACTCGGACTATCAGATCTTCGAGAATCTCCTTGGTTGATAAACTTGGTTCAAAAATTGAAATTTATTTTAAACGAAAAATAATGATCTACAAATAAATAACATTAAAGGACAAACATCAAAAAGATACATATTTTAAAAATTTAATGGTTTAAAAAATTTAATATGAGAGGATTTATTTTTGCAATAGTAGTTGGGCCCCTTAAAGTGTTAAATATTGTGAGAAGTAAGAGTTATCAATAATTTGAAGTATTATAAATACTATACTTACTCTGTGTGAAGTAATCATAGTTGCCTTGAACACTGGAATCCTCAGATCTGTTCCCACTGTTTGTAATTGATCGGGAGTCACAACTGAAAACATACATTAATATTAGCTATAGTATATTTTTAATATTTTTCATACAATAATTAAATGATTATACTTACGAAGTAACAGAGTTTTTAGCTATTAGATATTCGATATCTTTGGTCCATGGATTTCTGAAAGATTTCCATTCAGATTGAAGTCTCACAAAGCTGGCGTTTTTGGTTCTAAACCTGTATATCTAAAGAAAAATCACACATAAAAAATATAATAATTATTTTATTTCAGATATTGCTTCGAAATTCAACAAATTTTATAGCAAAAGGATACAATTTAATATGTATTTACTATGGAAAATTATCATATCGAGACAGAAATAAACATTTCACACAGTAACTATTATTATTGTTAAAGAATCGACATAAAGGAATTAGCTCGGAGATGACCATACTGACCCCACTTATTGTTAGTGTTCATTCCCCTTACATGGGTAGTGGTATGCTTGTGATAACGGTCGGTAAACATGATTCCTCAAGATATAATAATTAGATTTAGTTCTAAATGGCCATTTCTGATTTACAATTTCTTAATTGGAAATAGAACCGAATTAAGATTACTGGGCCCGGGGGCTATCGAATATTGGAGAGTCTCTTTGATAAAGCTTGCTTTAAAAATTGAAATTTATTCCAAATAAAGTGGGGCTCGAGGCTGTAGCCCACCTTAATTCGGCGCTGTTTGGAAGTACAGTAGCTCACCTGTGTGGTGATGCATTCGGTGGCCTGAAGAGCAGCTTTATGAGATTTCGCGAGATGAGGAATATCATCATGATGATAATATTCGTACATGCTTGTACCTAGCAGCTCTTGCGGTAGGAAACCTAACACTAATGTAGCCCTGCAAGCAATAATTATCATTAGTCATGTACAGACTGTATAAAAAAACATTAATGTCTTAAGTATGAACCTCTGATCGACGAAAAGAAATTTGCCATCCATCGCGTGTCTCGAGACAAATTTAATCGGCCTTAAATTTGGTTTCTTAGGCAAAGATGTTGGTATGGTGGATTGTAAACGACCAACAGCTACCAAACACGATAAATTACAAGCTTCCCCTTCTCCATCACCTTCTTGCTCCTCCAGATCAATTTTTGCAGGTGCCCAAGATTTTAGGTAACCGGTACATTGAATGACACAGTATTTCCAGTCTGCGAAAATATTTGTTAAATAAATAAATTTATTAAATCATTGGTACAATTGGGGTGGGGGGGTGGAGAAGCCAGAAGTTTAGCTGACCTTCATCTAGGAAATTGAAATTCTTTTTTAACAAATCAATATATGCAAATGTAAACTTAATATTATCATAAAAATTTTGTTGACCCCTATCGGATAATTATAGCTGCGCTACTAAATTTCATACAAAACCGAATAAAATTGTGTAATTTTTAAGAGATAGGAAACAAATGTAACGTTTGATGTAGTGAGGATATGAGATCAATAATGCACTGAGAATTGTACCAAGAGATAATAAAGTGTTTACATCAATTTTCTCATGGATAATGTCTATTTCATAACTTAATTACACAGTTTGCTCTAGTTTTAGTTTTCTGAAGAGTTTTATTCAAATTGTTCCATTGAAGCAAAAGATTTCTAAATTCCAGAATTACAAAATTCAAGAACTTAAAAATTTGAAAGGGACTTGGCACATTTTACAAGAAGTTCCAAATTACGTGAATGGTATATAAATTTCAAAAAAGATTAAAAATATAAAGGTAGAGGAAAGAATGTGAAAGCGAAGGTATCTAAAGCGACTTCTTTAGCAGGATACTGAAATAGGATCCCTTTTTCACTTTTGACGAACCACGCGGCAAATATTTATGTCGCGAGATCTTAGAAACGATGAAAAGGAATTCCTAACACCTTAAATCTCTTTTTACCGTTTCCATATAAATCCTGTTCTACTTGTATCAGAGTTCAAAACACGGTACAACTTTTGTTACTTTACGGTTGTTAGATCAAGGGTTGTCCGAGGGTTAATATAGTCGTCCGAGGGTTAATATAGTTACTGATAAAATTCATAATCATCTTTTTTCTAATGGAAAATAATTAACACAGAAATGCTTACCAACGTTTTGTTGCTTTTTGCGTCGATGGCACCCACTTGTAGTATCAGCTTCTTCTTTCACTTGCAAGTCACCGCAACGAATTCCTTCCACTTTTCGTTTCATTCTGCAGAAGAAAGACCTTCGTGCACCTGGGCATAGTCTCGATACACCCTGAGGCACATCTGTTTTCACTGGTAACATTGCTAAATAACAAGTAACCAATCATTAATACATTTTCTTTGATACTAATTATTTTCTTTGTAATATTGAAATTCTGATCCAATTATACAATAACACTAATAATATATTAATTTAAAAATAAATATAATAATCTATTAATTGTAGAAAAAATATAAAAAATTAAAATCTTTTAAAAATAGATAGAAAAATAGTAAGTGATTGATAGTAACTGATACTGTTAACAAAGCTAATGAACCGGATTCATCTCGGTAAAGGATCTTAATTACACCAATGGTCCTTGGAATTCTAAAGACTCAGCATTTGTAAATAATTCGTTTGAAAGTATCAGTAAATGCAAGATATTTAACATTTTCCGAATCAATTAACGTTCGTTAATTCCAAAGCTGTACGCGTTGATGATCGACGATCATAAGAGATCAATGACCTTTCGTTCTTCGTAGGTCACACCGGCATGTAACATCTTAGAAATCTTGTATCGCTTTTCCTCGTTTAGACAAGACTTTCGTAAGACTTTCATAGCGTTAATTCATCGACAGTCAGATGCTGTCGAACGAGTGGCATTTATCAGACATAAAGTGCATCAATGAACCATCCTAGGTCCGATTGACCATCGATGCTGGAACCGGCTCAGAGAATGTCGAAAGAAGGTATAATTAATGGATTCGTATGCAGAAAGTCAAGTAACCTTCTCGTAAAGTTGAAGTTATAAAAGACTTTCGGGTGCATTTCGTGTTCAGAAAGAAAATACAAGATGTCCATAAAAGAAAAGGTGTATTTTCTGTATTTATTACCTTACAGGGTAATTATTCAAATTCAAAGGAAGACGATACAGTTATGGGGTAAAACAATTGGTTTTTTTTTTTATATTAAGTCAGAATACGTGTAAATAAAAAAAATCAGAGTGAGTTTTAAAAATAATAATATTCAAAGTAGGGTACCATTAGGTCCCTTTTGACTCCCATCATATGCTCAAATGTTCAAATCTCCCACCAATAATATTTTAATGAAAGTTGTGGGTCCAAAAATAATTGTTAAAAATATGTGTTATTATTTTTACATACTTTTGGCGTCTATTAATCGTTCACGTGGACTAAGATCCGAAGAAGATAGTTGTTCCTTCACCTTGGCAACATCTTTAGGGTGCAAGATATCGAACCAACTTTGACCCAGTAGGTCACCCTGGAAAAAAATGACACTTCATAACAATCAATTAGCCGTTTAATGTACAATGACCTAATAATTAGATTAAAATTAAAATTAAGAAATGTATCCCATTTTTCTATTTAATAAAATCACTGAGAATGAATAAGTAATATTCACATAATTAGTAATGAATAAGTAAGACTCTCATATACAATATGAGGCCCATTATGTGAATAGTAGTTAAAAAGGGGTAATAGTAAAGGCACCAAAATTAATTTGTATACCTAACATTTTATGTTTAAAATTAATGTTTATCTTATTTGTGTCATATTGTCATAAGAAATGAGTGGAAGTAGGATACCTGAGAATAATTGAGTGTCTGCAAAACAGACTCGGATACATAGAGAATTCTTCCACGATCACAGCCAACCACGAAGACAAAACCCTCCGCAGCCTGAAACAAGAGAAGGGGTCTTCGATTACGTCACCTAGATCAAATATTAACTATTATTATGTAACGATCGTGACAGGGAATCTATAAACGTTGTCATCAACAATAATTCAATTACATTCAAAATGTTTTGCAGTATCTATCAAAAGGGGATAGATACTTCTTTAAATCTCTCCTTAAACCTCCCCTTAAAATTAAATTTTTTTTATTAATTTATAATGTAAAATAAAATTGCATTATATTTCACGGAATCATAGATTTAAAAAAGAAATTTTTTGCTTCATTGAAAAAAGAAATTTATGAAGATATTATGATTGGTATTATGATAAATAGCATAAGGTAATTGTTTTATAAGAGATTACGTTTGTATGTCACGTTTTGATCATCGACTCATTTGATTCTGATGTGAAATTCAATTAGGAATTGAACAGTATAATGACGAATTTCGAACTTTAAGTACGTGGATACGTATTGACATTGATGAATGTTGCATGCGATCGAAGATATATCGTCGAGGGCTACGCAAATGCTTATTGCGCAACAGCAACGCACTTATCCTAACCGATTTACCTGTTAAACAGACCACTGATACACATATGTATGTACATACATTGGTGATCGTATTATCGTGATCATTGAATCAATAGGTGTCATGGTTTTTTACAGTAACAAGGATAAACCATAGTATCCGCATAACTGTACTTCGTTACAAATTAGAAAAAAAAAAAAAAAACGACAAAAATATCAATTTTAAAATATAACAAATATTTCAAGGATAAACCTCACAATGTAGGTATATAATTATATTAAAAGATGGCACATTGATTCTGTACATAGATCTTCATAATTATCAATCATACGTAATGATTGCTAACAGAATGATTGGTATCCACTATAAGATGGAAATATTAATTTTCCCTCGAACCGGATATCAACATATCGGGAATAAGAAACGTGTAGCAATTCATAATGAAAGTTTGTATGGTAATAATGGTGGTGGAGTTAACGTCGATCCGAGCTGGTATGTCGGGTGTGGTCAGTTGCTCGAATATTTATTCTCAAGAGGGATAGAGCAAAGGAAAGTCTCGATAAAAGATAAAACCCTATCTAGGTTCGTAAGCGACAATGAAAAATACTAGCCAACCACCGGCACCAACTCTCTGCTCACTCGCATGACGGAATCTAGAGTGAAAAGGAATTCGTATCATTTCATTTTACGAGATCCATTATTTAAACCTTCGATCAACAAATAAATGTCATTTATTTTTACATATATTTTATAGCTTGCGCAATATCTATTGCAGAAGGGGAACATTGTACCACAATTTTTTGTTAAAATTTTGCTAAGGCTAAAAATTAAATTCTACCTTTTAACTAATATACGCTGCTATTTTAATTTAACTATTTTAACGCTGCTAATTTTTTTGTTTTATATTCTACCCTTCTTTATTGAATAAAAATGTTAATAAATGAATTTGATATGGAGCGAAAGAAAATTGAAAAATATATTTCTATATACTTCGTATCCAGAAGCAATTCTCATTTGTATTTTATTCGAATTCAGCATGGGAGCTGAGTTACCAGCTAAGTAATACGAGTCACTAATGATAAAGGAAGTTGGCAAGTAATAAAAATACCAAGATAACTATGCTTCTGAAAGATAAGAGAAAGAGCTTGCTTTCGTTTTTCAGACCAATCAATTTACACTTATGACTGCGCCAAGTGCTATTAATAGTGACTGTTATACATACACGCGACATTCAAGGTATTCTATAAGAATTATCAATTTTTTATAGAAACAAAAGTAACTGTATCATATTTATTATTAGGTGTACAAATTAATTCGGTACTCCTTGTAATTTGAACATTTTCCCGGGCTTCTGTGCATAAAAATTAATTTAATAATCGGAATTACCATGATTTTTAAAAAATAAAGCTACAATTAAAAAGAAGAAAGGGCAGAGAATTAATTTGTCTTAATTAATCAAGCATCTTTTATAAATTGCCATTTATTAATCCTATTATTGTTGGGTACCACTGCCGGCAATCTATTACTTTCTAATTTAAAGAAAAAATTTATCTCGTAACTTTTTCTCTCTTTAGGAAATAAAATTGCTCTATTGCGCGATACAGTTCAATTTCACGCTGGACTTCATTCGCCATATATGTAATAATTAAATACAAAAAATAGCAATTTAAAAAAAAAAAAACACAAAGTAATTAGTAACAAGACACCATATTAGGTATTGGAACACAAATTGACCATTTGACACTGATAATCAAAGGTGCATGTAATTCGAGCAATGCAAATGAACGTTTTACAAACACCAATATCAGAAACGTGTATCTACATAAAAGGAACCCTTCTCTTTCACCCGTCACGAGACTGATCACTGTGTGAAAAATGTGTAGCACGCTGGAGAAAGGTTAGCCACGGCTATTGGATACGCTTGGTCTCGTACGGAAGGATTGCAAAAGGTATGGACGGCCTTTTATAAGGAACGAAAAAACTTTTCTCCCGCATTGCTACCAATTAACGGATTAATGGCTTAAACTATAATGCGATCCGTATGGGAACACTCGAAGGAAATTGAAAGTGAACCAACTGGAGTAAACGATTGATCAGATATAATCGATTGAAATCAATGCTACTTTGGAAGAAATAAAAATTGTATACCATTTTTTGGAAAAAGAAAACCGAATCTTTCAATGATAAACCAGGATGTTATTTATCGATATAAACATTTTTTAATAAAGAAAAAATTAAAATTGAAATTTGTTAATAACAAGCCCAAGATTTTGAATATTTATTTGAATATTGATAAATTTAATCATCTGTAAAAAAAGTGTGGTAATAAAGGATTAAATTAAATCATCTCTGTTCAAGTAACAACGAATCGAACTTCGAATTACATAATCAGGTCTGAGATACCAGGAAGTCTTACACGAATGGTATGCACGCTCGTACATTTACTATCTAGTTTCCCGAATACGGAGTCGATAATGGCGTGTAATCTCATCGTACGAATCGGTCGCTTTCAGACTTTTAACGACACTGGTTTACCTGCTTTTCGCAATCTTTATAATCACTCTGTCAATCTAAACTCGATGTATATTACATATAAAGGGAGAGTTAAAAAAGTGGGCACATTTGGGAACTTGATTTATTGAAATTACGTTTTTCGACTAAAAAACAGAAACTAGGCAAAGTGTTAAAATATAATAAGACACGTCATTAATTTTGATTCAATTGCTTTTTCTTAAGTTATTCTAATTACGTAGAGCTATGAATAACAGATGAGTTGCATCGATAAATTTGATTAAACTTACTTGAAGTATGAGCGTCTTGAGCTCCTGATCGCTCAGGAATGCTGGCTTATAATGACCCTCCGTATAGGAAGTGACAGCACCGAGGATGGTCTTTATGTGTTGCACAGCCATCCTGAGCACAGTTAATTTGTCAAGTTTGCGAGACATTGCATGGCACATCGGTACCATCGCTGAAAGTTCCGTGATATAGGTGTTCATTTTATCCCTTCTTCTTTTCTCAATTTCACTATGATTTTGTCTGAAAAAAAAAAAATACAACCAAAAAAGATCAGTATAATTCAGAAAGTATTAAATACATTAATCAATAATTTTTAATTATCAAGTAAAAGATCACTCGACTAAAAAAGTAAAATTTACTTATGAATAAAATTTTAATTGATATTTAATGTTTTATTAAATTGAATAACAATTTTTATAAATATTTTTTAATTTGTTTTAAATCCTAACAAAATTTAATTGTACCACATATCAATTTTCATTTCGATCATTATTTAAATATTAAATATTTCCCAAAGTTGAAAATTTGCATTTCTTTTTTTTTTGTTTCAAAATCAAATTTCTCATAAGCATTTCTTTAAAGCATGCCCAGGTTTGTTATGTTGTTTCTTTCTTCAGCATCTTCAGTAATCATTTTCAAAGACGTGACCGACGGGACTGTCGTGAATCAATTGTAAAAGTTTATTTGGTTAATAAACGCCGCTTTTGTGCGTGAATACTGTTAATGTGCCTCCCAAGAATTCGCATTGATGCTTTGCAGACGATCAATTGGCCAGCGGAAGTCGTGGCCACCGGAAACCACTTTCGACTGGCAACGGGTCTGTTCTACTCTATATTAATTTGGGAAATATTTAATTACTATAATATAGTGAATCATTGTAACTTAAAATTTAATTCTAAATTAACCCTTATTTGAATTATGGGGTCACAGTGGCCCCACAAATGTTTGATTTAAAACATAATTATTTGAAAATTTATAATAATATTCTATTATATTGTTAAAATTTTAAACTTTGAAGAAAGAGATATTAATAAAAGAGATAAAGGTACAACGTCTTTTAATCGTGTTTACAATCTACGTTAGCGTTGATTAGATTAATGACGTCGTCGATGAAGCCAGAGTAAAGAATCGAGGTGGGTCAAGGTGGCACTTACCTTGGCAATACTTGAAATAATACTACATAACCACTGACCAAGATTAAGCTTCAAGTTATACGGCTTCTTACTATATTAGAATGAACTTCAACTCTACTCTGTATGGTTCATCATACTTTTCTCAGAAAAATATTTTCATATATGATAAATGTATGAATTGTTAACACCTTAGAATTTGTATATATTTATTTTAATAATTATCAACATGTATCACTTACTTTTTGCTGTCGTCGTTTGTGCGAACAAATTTGGCATCGTCTCCAACATCGTCCAATAAATTACTACCATCGCTAAAACAGAAAAGAAAGTAATCATTGCATAAGATTGAACTATTCTGTTCAAAATCTTCCTTCTCATTCCTTTTCTTTTTACTATTTTTTTAATCACGGTAGCCAAGAAAACTTACTAATTTAGTGCTTTTATTGAAAATTATTAAAATTTTTTCTTCTGAAATATTTTATTAAACTAAGCAAACCAGCGATAATATACGTTCAATTCGATTACTTTGAGCACAGAACAATGTAATCAAATAATAATTGAAGAAGACCTACTTGGGTTCTGAGACGACGAAACGTTGAGAAACCAAGTATACATGGTACTGAAACAATTTCTTCAAGGTACACCCTTCGAGAAGGGTGTACCGTGTTTGATGCAGAATTTCGCCAAGTTTCGCTCACGTACAGCTTCTCTGCACTTTTGTCTTTCAATATTTCATACAGTCACATAGAAACTTTCATTCTATTAACGAAGTAATTTCTGCATTTCTTTTATAATTACATTCTTTAAATAACGTTTATATTGAAAAGTACAAGTAAAATTTTTCTAAGGTATCAAACGTTCTATCGTTTACGAACTACTCTTAAGGCGTCAAATTGGATATATTCCGGTCAGAGGTAGCACACAACTATGGCAATAACTAAAGGCAATTTCGACCAACGAACGGTCCCAAGAGAACGCAAATCTTCAGTTCTGTTAATGATTAAGTTAACCCTTTGAGCGGGTAACCGACACCTTGATTGGTAATTACTTGGAGTTGCGGTCGTTTAACGGGGAAACGTTATGGAATGCGCTGTCGACACGAATCAAGAGGGTGAGAGGTGTAGGGTAGAAAGATGTTTGTAGATGGAAATATCAGTCTTGAATACATTTGCCAGGCTTCGTTTCGACGTGTTCACCATCGGTAGCATGTTAATGTGTGTTACAGACCAATATCCTGTACGACTTCCTACGCAAACCATACAATTCTTAACACAATTCTAAACTTTCCTCAGAACCAGCCAGTTTTTTATTACTGAACCTTAATAATTCTTAATTCTTTATTTATAGCTTATTTTGGTACATAAGTTGATAGCTCCTTGAGTGTTAATTAATAATATAAATTTCATTTTCGTGACGCACCTGGTGCGTCGTTTATTATTTGGGGAAGAGAAAGACCTAAATTCAAAGTATAATACGATATATCTGAGTTCTTAAAAAACATGGACTTACTGGCAAGAGAGTTTTCGCTTCCTAGAATCCGCCAGGAATTCCTCAGAAGTATCAGTATTTGGTCCATGATTAGGGGTAGTGGATGCGCTACGTTGTTCTTGTTGTTGTTGATGATGATGATGATGGTGATGGTGGTGGTGATGACGATGATAGTGATGGCCGGAGGCGGGTGCCTGGTCAGGGACCATCGTCGGGGGTGTCTCCATGTGCTGGGGCGGTTCAGCCCCCGTTACGACCTGCGGCGTAGTGTCGGTGCTGGTGGTGGTGGTGGTGGTGGTGGTTGTAGTAATCGCAATGGTGGTAGCGCCGGTCGTGTTGGGGGTGGCGGTAGTTGTATTGTTGCTGTTGTTGGCGGGGGTTGGAGTCAGGCTGAGACCTTCGCCACCCCCCGCCGAGTTGGCGGTTACTTCTCCCACCCCCGAGCCCGTTCCTATGTCGCTGAAATAAACCGTGGGACACGAACTTCTGAAATAAAAAAAAATGATAATAAAAATTAATAAAAAAAGAACAATTCAATTGTTTCTCTTCTTGCTCGAAAATCACTATCATAAGGATACGATCATTCCAGGCAAAGAAATGGAAAAAAAAGATAAATCAATTTTTGCTCCAATGTCATGTTTGGGTACTTTTTGGATCCGTTTATTATAATTTTATTGGATCTATAAAAATACAAGTCATAAAATAAAATAATATTACATGTAATGGAACGAACTTAAAATAATAAATAAAATTTATATTTTACAAAAAATAATAAATAAATAGGTAAATATGAGGATCTAGAAGTGTTAAGTCCTTACGTCTTAAACTTTGAAAAGCGAAGTCTGGGTCAATGGTGACCCAAACTTACGGATATTAACCTAAAGTTAAATGTATAATTTTTAATACATTTTAATAAGTAGTTGTTTTTATAATTTCTGTATTAATATTAAAATATATTGGATTTGACAGGTATTGGAATCTACGTGTTTCTAACACTTTAAATATGTTGATAAGAAACAAAGGTTTTGAGTAGTATAATTCAATATTGATTCGAATGATATGAAAGCTAAACACGTGGCAATTTATTGCTTTACTGCAGTCTAACGATAATTTCGAGAATGACTCACTTAAGCAACAAAAAGACGTGGCGAAGGCCGGCCACGTATCTATACAAACGGTTTGCAAGTAGTTCCGTATATTATGATGTAACCTACACGATTAACGTAATTCTATTTATTCACATATACGTCAGTACACGCGTCGTATCATACTGTATGTACACGTTCATACTATAACAAATTACAATGTACAATTCATACTCATCACTTTATAATATTAGAGAGCACTGCAGCAGCAGTTTCTTTTCCTCTAAAATTTTCACATTTCTTCCTAATTTTATTTTACAAAATATATCTTTTTTTGTAAAAAATAATATTTTTTTAAATTAATATTTTTCTAATCTTCTAAACATTGAAAATAATATTTTTGAGAAATCAGTCTTTGCTTTTACATTATGTTTTATTACATGTCATATTTTTCATAAAAATTTTTGTTTATTTCTATAACTATTTTCTAAACTTTATAAATCAAAAAACAAAACCAGTATTCCTATCGTTTCTTTCATTTAATTTCAATGGCTAACAAATTGAAATGCAACTAAAGATATTGAAGATCAAGCGCAAGACTTGCCAAAATGTCAAATCTAAATTAATCAATCGTTTTCAATACAACCGATGAAAAGAGTGTTATAGATCTTTAATGCAACGATGAAGTCCAGTTGCATAACAAGTTTTGCACATAAATCGATTCAATGATCGAATGCGATGAAAAGAGAGAAAGGATAGAAAGTAACACCTTTCCCTTCCTTCAGGCGGCATTCAGTTGCGCCATGCTTCTATGAAAGTTCTCCGAGCAAAACGCTAAACTTGGAAACGGCAATTATTAGAAGAACGGTTCAGATCTGGTGCGAGAAAAGACTCGTTAAATTCGTTCTTACATACCTTCTGCTGAACTCTATATCTTGACCGATCAACTACATGATTTCGAAAGATTCGATACACGAAGCGGTGGTGTCTTGATTTATTAGATCTTTTAACTAGTTTATATTCCATTCTCTTTCACACTTTGATAGGATATTGTGAACAAATTATACGAGGAATTTTATTGCGCGAAATGTGAGAGGAAAATAAGAAAAATTAAAAATTTATGTAAATTGAATTTTAAATAAAGTTGGAAATTTTTAGAGGCCCCTATTCAAAAAATGCGAAGTACTCCCTTGGTCATTCTAAAATTTCAAGATTTTCGTCAATTTTAATGAAATAAAATGAACAAACAATCACTAAACGAGATCGGTTCACCTTCATTCTTTTTCGAACATTCGAATATTAAACAGCAGATGATTGAAATCAACAACTATCAAACACAACAATAACGCATTGTTTTATTTTTCACTTACTCTTGAACCGCCGAAAGATTATAATAACTCCTTTGCTGTTCTTGTTGATGAGGATGCTGATATAGTTGAGCACTGGTTGAAATCACTTGGCCACGATCGTGATGATCTTGATGTATGCGTGGTTGAAGCTCCTCCAACGATATGAATTCTTGTGGTTCTTGACCCGGATGGAGGAGCTGCGTATAACTCTGTGCCATTTCTTGGGCCACCATTTCCTGTTCTGGTGGTCCACGAAAGCACAGCAGGTCCTCCAGCTCCTCCTCCTGATGTCGACGGTATTGTTGCTGGTTTTGTTGCAACTGCGGTTGATCTTGCCGATAATGATTCGAATGTTGTTGTTGTTGATGTTGATGAAAGACAGAAGGGTTCAAGCTGGTGCCATCGCCAACCGCAACGTCATTCTCCACGATACCACCGCTATCTGGCAGTAACCCACCCTCATCTGAGGATGTATAATCCGCTGTTCTTTTATCCAGATTAGTTGACTTTTCATATAACCGTGTCACAAGATGGTTGCAACGTGCGAACGAGCAGGATGAAACGCGTTCACGTGTTTTTAATTGCTGAAGAATGGTACTTTTGAAGAAAAGTTGGAAAATCAATTTTTGAATTTGGAACTCTTAGAAAATTCGAAAACCTATGATTATTTTACGAAGAAAATGCATCGTTCACTTTTTCGGTTTAGATTGTTAAAAAATTTTTAGAGTTATTCTTTATAATAAAGGGGAGATGTTACTTTCTTCACCTATGAAAATAAATAAATCGATAAATGGTAATTAACGATTGGACCAATTCATGAAACATCGACGCAGTGTCTGTCGCAGAAACGTAAGAGACAATAGAACGAGGATCTTAGATACTTTAGACAAGAAGTCGATACAGGTTGTATTGAGCTATTTCTTAGAACCTGAACGTGCATTTATAAACGTTCTCTATCATCGAATCATCGTTTTCTGTTACGCAATATTACGTCACATTCAATGGAACATTATACATATGAAATATACATATGTATAATCAATGTTTAAAGCTTGTTGTTAATTTTTTTTTTCAGATCAAGCTATAAATTAATCCACAAATTAGCATTTGAAAAATATTGGATGTGGGCAAAAAATTTGAAATGTTAAACTTTTTATTGATAAACTTGATTGGGTAGTAAAAGAAAAATTGATAAATATAATTTTCCATGAAAATTGTACATTTTCTTGGAGTGTATCATTTGGAATGGCTGGTTCAAAAACAAAGAAAGTCCGATATGATTTGATGACATAAAAGTATCATGAAATAGCACTTATGGTACATTAAATTACAGCTTAAAGTTTAATAAAAATTATGGTATAAATGCTTTATCAACTACAAAAACTATAGACTCTATGATAAAATGAATCGAAAATTCCTGTATTATTTTGTGATATAAACGAATGGAAATTGGATATTAGCTAATGAACAATACTAACAATAAGCTGTAATTTGATTGATTCATTGTGTGCTTGAACGAAGAACCAGCCATTTTGTATTAAGAATATTGACGAAGCGTTTACGTAATCATTTTCATAAAACCTTAAGCTTCAAATTGATGTGCTATAAGTGCTATTATGTAGTACTTTTATGTCATCAAATTATGTCAGACTTTCTATGTCTCAAAATCAGTCATTCGATTAAGATAGAATAATGCTGCAACCTAATAAAATAAAGAGATAACAAATTGTGCAAATTTATTCCAAATACATAAACTTAAGAACAAAATTATTTAAAAAATTGATACAAAAATCATGATATTTTTAACGAAATTATGCAATCAAATAAAAAAATTCTTTCAGTCAAATAAAAAAAAAACATTAAAAAGTAATGATTTCGTAGGAAAAAAGTGGCGTCGTTGCAAATAGCGTACGGCAGAAGTTTATTTGACGCAATTTACAACTTTGTATTCATAAAGGTGTTCATTACACATGGTTCATTTGAATAACAAATTTTTATAAGTATAGGTAAAAAACCTCTAAACAGTAACAATTTTCTAGATCTCTATTTCATAAAAAATAAGAAAAAATAAAAATGGATTTGTTAATTACTAAAAAGAAGAAAAAAATAGAATTAATTTTTGTAAGCTGCTTTTAATACTTTGCAACTTTAGATCTTTATTTTATCAAAAATATAAATAAAAAAATAAGATATCATTGAAACTATTATCTGTTCGGATGAATATGCATTTCTGAAAACTTTGTTCTTTAAACACTGTTGCATCTAGGAAGCATGCAGCTATACTTTTGTTCGAATCACCTTGAAGGTAATCTAAAGTGTAATAGTCTGATAAGAAGATAATGTAACAGTTTATCTAATACCAGAAGAAAATGATCGAAAGATACTATTGTTCTCTGACCATCTGCAACGAAGAGAATGAAGCATCAGACTGAGATAGAAATAAAACAAAGACTCTGTTTTTTATTAACGTACAACGAAGACTACGATAAATGAATTCGACAAAAAGAATTGGATATTAGATTTATTTAAAAGAAGAAGAAAATTGTTTGAAAAGTCCAACATTAGTGATAGCATGAAGCACGAAACTAGAAAGTGTAATAAACAAACGAAAAGAGACTAGATATTCCCTCTATTAAAATCAAGAAGAAAATTCTTTGGAAACTTCAAAATCAATGGTACCACATATCATCTAGCATTCTCAATCACCACTGATATGCACCATGAGATTAAACCATTAAACAGTCCGTCGCAATATCATTGCCGCAGGAACTCCATAAGAAATACCTTAAAAACACGTGTGAATCCAAAATCACGGTTTGACACATCAATTTCGGAGCACAATATGATAAAACATATCCACTCTAGACGCTTGTGCGTGTGTTGATCAAGCATGTCACTAAAAACGATCCACCAACCATATGATTCTCCATGGTAATCACATTCTTCGAAGCATGATCATCACATTGTTAGGTGAACACGTTTCATCCGGTTGCATATCACTGAACCACCTGTTCGTACGTTGCAATCTCGAAGAAGGTGGGTACGGGTATCCTTACCGAGAAGCGCGTACATCCACGTCGTCGTCGACGTCGAGGAAGCGGCGACATCCTCGAGGAGCGCAGAAGGCCTCTCGCCTTCCCTCCTCTTGGCCGATGCCCTCGTGCTTCGAGGGTGCCTCTTCGACGACGACGAGGTCGTGCCGTTCACGGATGAACGTTCCGAGTATCGTTCGTCGACGCTACCACGTGTTATCGATGTAACAGGCGGTCGCTAGAGATGCGGACGACACACGAGGAGGACCACCACGTCGTCGGCAACCTTCGCGATCGTTTACCGTGCCGCTACTGTTTCTACGTGCTGGCGGAGGTGGTGGTGGCGGAGGTGGTGGTGGTGGTGGCACTCGGTTTCCGAGCTCACGCGCACTCTTCGTCCAAGACGGTCAACGAATAGGTGTTGAGAGCACCGTTGATGATGGTGGTGGTGGATCAAGCCAAGGTGGAAATGGAACCAACACCGATGCTGGTTTCGCGGATTACCACGCGTTATCCTGGTCCACTACCACCAGAGACTAAAACACTTCCTTCCGGCTTTCCTTCGGGAACTACCTTGATGACTGATAATAACTAAATGGCTGCTTATCTCCTTCTTCGCTCTTAGCATATGTGAACTTTTTAACATATTAATTACCGATGGATAAGCACCACTAAGGACAATTTCTTTAGTCGTTCGAGATGAAACGATAACTGTTAGTTGACGATTATAATTACAGTTAGTTAATTTACGGTTCTCTGATAGCACAGGTAACTCACATAAATCAATGGTCAAGGTTCTGCGGAGCAGAATGAATAATCCGGTTAACCGGCTATCTCCTCGGTTACAGTAGATTGTGACTTTGAACCTTAGAAAGACTAAAAGGTGGGGTGCGTCGAGCCTTCTAGTTGGAAAATAGATTGATATTTTGTTTTTATTGGATATATTATTTATTATAAAAAAAGAGTGGTTGATACTGTAGATCGAAGAATTTAGAATTATATTAGAAATTTCTGTATCTCCAGACTGAACTACGCAGTTAAAATGGATATTTTATAAAGAATCGGACCACGTGGCTATATGTTATTGGCGTGAGTGGGAGTGACTAAAAGCAACCCACACCCCTGCGCTTCGACACAGTGGATGGTACCGCGACCATCGTACGCAGGTCTAACCCCTTGGGAAGCTTGAAGAGGAGACCAATGAGGTTCACGCGGAACCTCCTCGTTGCTAGTGTTCGAAATTAGTTTGACGGCTGAAACTACGGTGTTACTAAAAATACCAGCTATGGCGTAGGTGGAACAACACGTAATATGGAACAACGCAAGGTCTCCATAAATAAATAAATAGCACAATGAAAATTATTTCTTTACACATAAACAGCAAAGTGTATACTTCACTGGTGTGTTAATTATATTTCATTAATATTGGATAGACTAATCTCTAATGCGACTTAAACGCAAAATTAACAGAATAAAAGAAATCTTTTTATTCACAGAATTTCTCTGTTTACGTAATTGCTTCCATTTTTATTCGTGTAAATCAGACGCAAATTAATTGTGATATTTATAGGATGAATTTTTTAGGGTGATGTTAATTAGAGCGTAACATGAATTGTTAAACGAATGACAGCAAATTCGAACAGTGCTACGAATACGAATAATGAATTCGTCGTTGACCCTCGTCCCTAAGAGATCCTTCCCCTTCACGGTATAAAGGATCATTGGAAAACTTTCAATAAGGTAACGCGAGGGTTACTCCCTTTCCTGATATTCAAGGTACTCGATTCTAATCTATGCAACTAATTTTTAAACTATTTATTTATTTTTTATAAAGATGCCCTCGGTATTTAACAGTGACGTTTGTTGGTTTATTTTTCTATAATATAATTACATACAAGGTAAAACAGCATTAGGGTATAATGATAAAAAAAAATCAACAATTCGTGAGAAATTTCACATTTCTGCATGCAAGATTTTACTTTTAAATTTAAAATATCTCACGCACTGCTGATTTTATTTTTTAGTGATGCAAAAATTACATTAAATATTTCCTTTTTTCTGTAAATTCCATTTTTTTAAATTGAAGATTTATTTTTAAAAAGTCTTGTGGTTGGAAAATATATGTAAACAAATTCTTTCGAATTTTTCATTTAAAATTTATCTTAACCATCGAATATAGTTCTCTTAGTCAATATCACCTTTAGAATATCATTTTAAGCAATTTCTTCATGCTATATGTATATCGGAAGCCACTAAAAAGTGAATTGTGTCGCTTCCAATGCTAATACGAGTATGCTCATATATTGTGTACATATAGGATTCCATGAGAAATAAAAGAATTCATCTTTATTCAATCGCTTTCATAAAACGTGTACAAAGTTTTTCTTTAAATGGTATCACGAACAAAAAATATTGATGTTATTTGCATTGCAACATGCATATAAATATTTTTCTTTTTCTTTATCTAATTTCGATACGCTTTTATCGTACTATTCTCAAATACAATGAAAAAGACGACATAGGATATTTGCAGACTTCTTGTTCATACAAGTAAACATAAAGGTCTCGAAGAAAACCATGCGAGGGATGTTTTATGAAAAAAGTTTCTCCTATTACTTGTAAATCACTTCTGAGAGCTCAGAAGTGTTTTGAAATCGTCCATGTGATATTCATAAACCGAATATGAACTTAGAACCAAGGGAATGCAAGTGACATTTTTACTATTATTTTTCCTTATTATAAAAACGAATAACGTTTACAATAGTAAATCTTCTCGTTATACGAGCACAATCACGAAACGAAAGAATATGCTTTCAGGGGCAACAACATTTTCCGGGCCGGTATTGTATTACGATAGGTTGACCAGTGTTATCTTACCAATCAACGCAAAAGGACAGAATTCTGAAATCTCTAGAATCTGAGAAAATAATTGACACCTTGATATCTGTCACCGCAATCACCGAACGAGACATTATTTATAGAAACATTGAGAAAAAGGAAAATTGTAGAGAATTTGTTCAATATCAAATGGCAGTAGATTAAAGACGTAGGTTTTTATTTCTCGATGTTCCGTCACGTTCATGGATTACAACGGTGATTAGGTAGAAATGTTTCGTTTCGAAGTTTAACGGCCAGCCGATAAGCCGATGGTCAGGCTAACAAAGGTTAAGGATTGTTGTTTGAAACGCATCGTTTTTCGGTGAATAATTGGATAAGCGCAGAAGGCAACGTGCGAAATCGCCGTAAATTAATCGACCAGGCTTATCTCTGGTCACCGAAAAATCACGCTAATGAGGATCCAGGGGTGAGGTTTAGAGAAGGGATCGCGAAAGGTTTGCTGTGGTCACTTCAAACGTAGATCGTCAGAGAGGGGGGAGAGACAGGAGGGTCGTATCGATGACAATTATCATTGCGTTACAAACAGATCCCCGTATTCGGAGAGGCTCGATACGTATTAATTCCCGTAATTAACGCTAATTAATACAGCCTAGTCAACATCGTGGAATCTTGTCGAGGCTAAAGAGATATCAAGATTTTCATCAAACGTTGCTTCGACATTTGCAATCAACTATTGTTGCAGTAGCGCAATCATAATTGTTCAAAAACATAGTGAACAAATTTTTTTCCATAACATAAAAGTATTTTAAAATTATACTCATGGTATATTAATTTCATATAAATATCATACTTTAAGAATTTTTGCTTTTTCCCTAGGGAAACCTAATCTTTCTAGTTTAATTAATTCTTCGTTAAATTAATTAAATATACTTTATAAAAATAAAAGCAACATACCATCAGATTCACTTCCGATACCTCCACTGGACCCTTCATTTGACAGCATGATCCAATTATCTGGAAGCATAACGTTTAATTTTGTTTATACGTGGCAAATAACTCTTTTAATTAACGATATATTTTTATTTCATTTTTTAATTTATATATGTCGTATCAATTGTTAAAGGCTATTGTCAACAGATAATAAAGTTGTCTGTTCACGAGTGTTTGTAATAAAACATTCAAATACTGTAATATGAAAACTATGTTCAGAAACTTTTGTTGATTCTGTTGATCTGCAGAAAATTTGAGACTCCCGTGTGAAATGTTTAATGAATTTTTGCAGAGGAAGCCAGATATTGTATCTGGTTAAACTGAAGTACGAAATATGTGTTAGATAGCGATTAAAATTGCAAGAAATTATATATCGTTCCACGAGAATGTCTTTACTTACAAGTATACTCTTCAGTTTATAAATACAGTTGAATGATGTTAAGTCGCAAAAATGTTGTGATTCATATTTCGAAGTTATTCAACGATTTTATTAAGAAGAATTAATTCACTAATTCGCCCATTTACGAATTCGTTAATTTATTAATTTTCTAACATATTAATTTGCTAGCTTACTAAATTGCTAATTTGCTATTTTAATGATCTGCTAATTTATTAATTTGCTAATTTTTTGTTTCGAATAATATTGAATAAAACGAAGCTGTTTACAATAAACATGGATACTTATGCTGTTCATCGAAGGATCTCGAAACAAATTATCAACTTCCCTCCCTTATACCATTGTACGTTTTTATAATTGGCCTGATAACTTGTTAATTAAGCATCGAATTGTTCGCTCAGACGTAAAAGAAACACGATGAATACTGTTCGCACTTAAATGCACAAAATATTGAATTGAGGAGCTGAGCGAAAAACAATGAATCAAGAAAATAAATTGTATCTAGTTTGAGAAGATCAATATATTAAATCCGATATACGCATGTTATATAAAAATTGTTATCGATTACCACAAACAGACGTCAAACCAATTTATTCACCCATAAAAAGGGCTATCGATTTTTCTATCTTTCAATACGAATATTGCTTTCTATGACGTAACACAATCAAACTTGATCTTGATTTATTGTTGATTTCTGTTTTTTTCACATTTTCTAAGTTATGCCAAATTCGGACTAATAGAAATTTGGGTATTAATATGAGACAGTGTTATTTTTGAAACAAATAAAGTTGTAAAATTAAGATATAAGTCTTCCTTATTTCAAAGCACGGAAATCTAAATATAAAAATCATGTTGCTAAGCGAAAAGGGACATGTACGAGCATAATTAAAAAGATCCAAAATATTTAATTGAATAATGACCAAGCTTGATTAGCCATGTAACGATGAAACGACGGTACATGGTCGTAGCACACATTTTCGTGTTTCTCGCTAGGATACTGGTGAATTCCAGTTACATAATCTCACTGACAACAGTACAACAATTTAACCACGTGATTACATAAACGTCATCAAGCCTGTATCTGAC